GAACTAGGTCTAAGGGTCAACCTCGAGAAATCTCATCTCGAGCCTTCTCAAACCATGGGCTACATCAGGGTGCACTTTGATTCTATCAGGACCTGTCTTCTTTCCTCCCCAAAAAATTCTCAGGTTGAGGTGAGCTATTCACCCATTTCACCCATCTGCTATGTTTTTGGTTCACCATATGCAGCACCTCCTTGGTTTGATGGCTTCGACAATGTCGGTGCTCCAACACGCGAGGCTGAAGATGCGCTCTTTGCAGGGCTGGTATCTGGCCCAGTTCAATCCTCTAGTACACCACCATTCCAAAAGACTATGTGTGACTCTGGAGTTGGCCTGTCAACTAAGATGGTGGACCTTTGTCCCTCACCTATTAATGGGCAGACCTTTCAGGCTTCTCCAGCTGACCATACAGGTCACAAGGGACACCAGCCCAATAGGCTGTGGTGCACATTGCGGTGCTCACGAGATCCAGGCCCTCTGGTCAAATGCAGGAAGGGCTTTTGCACATCAACCATCTGGAGATGCTCACGGTCATCAAGGCCTTTTGTGCTTTCGGTTCTCTCATAGTTGGCAGAGGAATACAGATTGCCACGTACAAAATGGCCACCCTGTATTATATCAACAAACAGCATGGCACCCACTTTCCCTACTGTACCTGGCAATTCATCTTTGGGAGTGGTTTTATGACCACCACATTTTCCCGGTTGCCATTCCTGTGTCGACAAAGGACAACGACATTGCCGATCGCCTAAGCCGTCTTACCACCCAAATACACGGGTGGGTTCTCAACGACACCATTTTTTCCAGTCTCTGCAGTCAGTGGAGTACCCCGACCTTGGATATTTTTGCCACTCGGAACAATTCAAAGTGCAGCATGTTCTGTTCTCGAGCAGGGAAAGGCCTAGGTTCTTGAGGTAACGCGTTCATGGTGGACGGGGGCAAGGGACCACTTTATCTCTTCCTTCCTATCCCTCTCATCCAATGGACAATAGTCAGGATCCAGCAGTCCCAGTTCAATTCCACCTTGAAAGCTCCCTGTCTAAGGACCATGTCGCATAACTTCCTCAGGCTAGCTCTACAACCGTACCGTCTGACTCAAGGTGACTGCATGATTTGTCACCTTGATTTGGAGTCTTTCCACCTTATATCCTGGAGGGTTCTTCTGCAGTGGCAGACATCCTGGCCAAGGCCATAAAGCCTTCTACTGGGTTATTATATTTTTATAAATGGAATGTTTACTCTTCCTTTGCAGCCTATGGGGTCTAGTTCCCATCCCAGCATCTCTAAGCACCCTCCTCACTTTCCTGCGTTATCTGTTTGATCAAGGTTTGGCGCACTCAACTCTCAAAGTTTATATTTCAGCTGTCGTCTCTTATCAACCTGTTGGATCTGAGGCTTCACACTTATTTTCACACCCAACTCTGAAGAAGTTTCTTAGGGGTCTGAAGAACATTCATCCTCCTGTTAAACCCCCACTCCCTCAATGGTCTCTTCAGGTTGAGTTTCATGCATTGGCTCGTCCCCCATTTGAGCCGTTTGCTTCTATGAGCTTGAAGCTTCTTTCCTTCAAGACACTGTTCCTACTGGTTTACTTCTGCTAGACAAGCGAGCGAGTTGACTGCCGTAAGGGTTGATGCCCCCTATATTCAATTTCATCCGGATAAGGTGACACTGTGTCTTTTCTACCAAAAGTTGTTTCAAGTTTTCATGTTAATCAGCCTTTGATCCTTCCAATGTTGTTTCCTTCTCCTTCTCCTGACATTGAGTGTGATCTCCATTCCCTTGATGTTTGCCGTGCCCTGGTGTTTTATGTTTCTAGAACCAAGGACTTTCATAGTTCTCCTCATCTCTTTGTTTGCTTTCATGGCCTATGAAAGGGGTGTCCTGCCTCTTCACATACTATATCAAAGTGGATCACAGGTGCTATTACCCTGGCTTACGAGTTGGTGGGAAAGACTCCACCAGAGGTGCTGAAAGCCCGCTCTACAAGAGCGATGACCACCTCTACTGCCTTGCTGCGTTGTATCGAGGTTCCTGATATCTGTCGAGCGGCCAGCTGGTCTCCGTCTTCGACTTTTGTCACACACTATCGTCTAAATATCAGGGCCAAGAAGGAGGCGAGTTTTGGCAGGGCTGTGCTGACTTCAGTGTTGGTGTGACGGCCCTCCATCTGGTGAGTTGGCTTGCTAGTCACCCATTTGTGTGCATTCACAGAGACCATGAAGAAGAAAGAGAGGTTACTTACCTGTAACCATGGTTCTTCGAGTGGTACTCTGTGAATCCACATGTCCCGCCCATCCACCCCACTGTCCATCACTTGCTTGTCTTGGGGATTCAGAGCTTTGACCGGAGGCATGATTGGAACTGAGGCATTACAGTAGGGTGGAGCATGCACAGCATGGGGGAATGTCTTACTAATCACATGTTTTTAAGCTCTAGATGATTCTGAGGAGTCCTGTGCAGGCGCAGTAAAACCCATTCGTGTGGATGTCACATTTTTATTTGCTTAGCTAGCAGAGCAGCCTGTAGCCGAGCAGGGTTTTTACCTCACCCCAAAGAGGTGGGGTGAGGGGCACCCCATTAGCTGAGTGGATGGTCTGCTGCTTTTAGCTACTTTTATTGCTAAATAAAGAATTCACTAAGCAGTTGTGATTGGGTTCTTGATAAGTCTTAGGCAGTTCCGAATTTGGCATGGGAACTGAAAAGGCTGACTCATTTAAACCATTAACAGATTTATTCAGATTCAACATAGGTGTGTCAATAACAACTTCCATAGGATAAACGTGATTTCAATTGTATAACTCTTTCACACCTCATAGAATTATTATAATAAACATCACTTCATAATACTGGGGAGCCGGGCCAAACCGTTCCTTGTCCATTGGATTCCTCATCGGGGCGCTTCTCACCGCGCAAATGGTGCCACAGCGTGGGTGGTGAGCCCAGTCCCCCTCTGGTGGTGGGTTTGTTGTAGGTGGGATCTGGGTGCACCACCCTCCTCCAGCGACCTCGTCCCCTCGGAAAGACCACCATTGTCCATTCTGAAGTTTCAGTGATGGTCACTCCCTCTCACTCTGGTATCAGGTCCGGCAGCAGCCCTCCCCCCTTCAAATTGGGAAAGTCTTTCAGCAGCTCACTCACATGTTCACATTTCTTTTCCTCTCTTTCTTGTTCATTGAAATCCAAAATTCCCACTCTCCTGTTTCCACTTTTATATTCTCCTCCCACAGGTCAATTCTTTGCTTCTCCTCTTTTCCCTTCCCTTCTTCTGTCAAACAGACCTCTACTTAACTCTTTCTTCGCCAACCCTCTGTTTTGTTACCTCCCTCTCCCCTTCCTTGATTACCATGTCCTTGCTATCCAGTACACTCTCATCCTCCTTTCCTTCACAGCAGTTAACTGTTTCTTTTTAAGGAAGCCAGGATAATAGCATGGAGGTTAAGTTGACAGCAGAGGTTGGGTTATTACATCTGAAAATATATTTCAGAACTTTTCATCAAGTATTTTAGGAGATAATCTGTGCTCCTTTCGCTATGCTTCCAACACTATTATGCACACTTGTGACAGTAGGTTCAGTAGCCTAGGAGATGTAATGAATAATGCTAAGAAGTGTAGAAGTGCTGTAAAATCATTGTAATAAATGGCTTGTTGCATGTCGTCCTATTATAACATGTCAGAATTGTGAGAGTTGGGGAATGAATGGAATTCAGTGGATTCCTAAAAGTTTTCTTCGTCCTTTAGCAGTTCAAGAATGTATGTTTAGAATGGGATTGATTATGCCTTTACTTTAATTGACGTTTACATATTGCTTAAACTATCATTTTAACTATTGTCAACATTTCTCATTCAAAATAGATGTGTTTGTTTTTCTGGAAATTGCTATCCACAACTTCTGTTAGGATTTATGAGGGCTCTGTCTTATACAATCTTGTCAGTAGAACCTCCCTTAGAGAATACAATAATTATTTCTGTTTCTTATTGATAGTTATGATGGTGATGATGATGTCTACTACTACATACATAGTGAGATGACAGTGGTGGCAGAAATGTTTAATTAAGAAGAAAGTACAATGAGGCAGACTCTTCTGCATCATCAGTGTGACATTTGATAATTACCGTATTTTTCCATGTATAAGATGCCCCCATGTATAAGACGCCCCCACTTTTCTAATCCAAAATTAAGAAATCTAAGTGGGGCTTAGCAAGTATAGGGGGAAAGGGATCAAAGCGCTGCAGGATCACTTTGATCCCTGCTTTCCCCTCCCCTTCTTTTTGTGCTCTCCTCAGCTTACTTCTGTGTATAAGAGAACCCTCAATTTTTAGTCTAAAGATTTTAGACAAAAGTATAGTCTTATACATGGAAAAATACAGTATGTGGGGTTTTTTAAATAAGATAAATATTTTTGGTAACACTGGAACAATATGACTGTCAAGTGGTTAGCAAACCAAGATATTAAAAAGGCATGTAAAGCCCTTGGCTTGTCCCATCTCAGTATACTGAAGTTAACCCAGCAATCATTTAAGTATATTTAGCTTCCTATTACCTCCAGACTAATAAATTGTAAATACCAGCTTTGGGAAAAATCAAGAAGTGCAGCTTGTGACAACCCCAGACCTACTGGAGTATGCCACACTATAACTAAGCTGCCACCAACCATTCCCTATAAGGAGTCACACAGACCAGGAATGGATTTTAACAAATAAAAGAACAAGGTTTATTTAAATATGACTTCAAACCATGGTTTAAATTGTTGGCTTGTACTGAACATAGTTTTGTGGTTTAGAGATAGTGGGAAATCATGCTAAATTGGAAACTTCCCATTTCTGTTTCAGCCCTGAGAAGGTTTGGTGCAAAGACAGAATACACAGGCAAATGGGTCATATGTTTCTTAGCAGAATAAGCTGTGATATAATGGTGTTAAAATTGTCTGCATGTGAAACCATCCCACCAAAAGAAGTGCTGGATGTATCTCAGATTTTCAGTGAAATTGTTCATTTTATAGGTCACATTGGGATGCTTCAGGCCACTCAGATGACCCAAGAAGTTACAATAAGGGATCTGGAATCAGAAAAAACTAGATTAAAAGATAAGCTGTCTCAGCTAGAAGAAGAAAGAAATCTATTACAAAGCAAAACACAGAGTCTGGATGAGAGACAAAGGCAGCAAATTCTTGCATTGGAGAAGGTAAAAGAAATGATATCCTTTAAATGATGCAACAAAATGTTGTGAGAAACTAGATTGATAGACAATATGTGCAGGAGGCAGAAACAAGTGCTGGACTTAATCTAGTGGAACAGCAGAATCCATTTGGAGCAAGAGGATCAGTCTCCCTTTTCTGATGCAGCTCCCTCTCCCCATGTATCTCAGATCCTATTGTAGAGGGCTAAGAAACCCTCTGGATCTAGTCTTCAGGCAACTCTGAGGGCTGAAGAGGGGAGCGGGTGGTGCCAGTCACTATTAGATTTAGACTGTTGAAACAGATAGCATATTATAACAAGGTATTTTGCCAATGGCAACATCTACATGGGGGATCAGTCTCAATAATGGATAGAGTACAACTGATTAGATGAGGGAGAAAGTACTAATGAATATAATGGAATTATTGCTTCTTGCTAACTCTCACTTTCAATACTCTCTCAGTTTTCATGTTCTCTCAGAATTCATTACCATAAGAAATCTGTAGAATGCTATCAAATTCTCTGAATTCAACAAGAAAAGCATCTAGTTATATTATTAGTTTAGTTTTTTTGGATAATATTTGGAGTTAATGTTAATTGGATTGTATGTAGTGGTGTCATGGAGCAAAGTTGAGAAATTGGTCGGGTTTGTTTTATATGCCAACTTACCAAGCTTGCATTACCCAAGCCTGTATGTGAAGCAGAATGGATTTCTATTCAGTCTTTTAAAGCGGATGAAAAAGAGGAGGCACTACGTGTTAAAAGGGGGAGTTCTAGGCAAAAGAATAACAGGAAACTGTTGGCAGTATCCTTTTTGGGCAAGCATGAGATTGCTGAGTTGTAGAATTTAAGGTCACAAACAGGGACAAAGACTACAAAGACAAATCATATAAAAATATAATTAACCAGATGATAATGATTTTTGCCTTTGGTGTATTCTTCAAATTGACAGAAAGTGAATGAAGCAAGGGAAACACAACGAGAATATTATGAAAAGGAGCTGATAAAACTGCAAGCCAGGCTGGAAGGGGAGGCTGCACAACTAAATGAAGCTCATTCTAAGGCCTTGGAGGAGTTGGCATGGAAACATCATACTGCTCTTGAGGCAGCACATGCCAATGGTAACAAAGAGAAGAAGAAACTGCAAATGGTAAGATAAGTATAATATGCGGGATATTTCTAGTTTTACTATCTAAAACGATTTTGAATGAAAGATTTAACTCTGTAACATGTCTTAATTATTTCAAATCTTAATCACTAAGTCGATTGGTAGGATCTTCAGCTGCACAAATTATTTCAGTTGCAAGAGAGCAACTGTATACTAATACCATTTTAATAAAAAAGGCAATCCGTCTTTCAGATTTCTTAACAGACAGATAAAAGATTAATTATAAGCAGGTATGAAAGGATATATGGATTTGCTTTCTCAGCATTTCACAATACTGATGAGAGAAAGTTCCAGTTGATTTTCTAGGTGTTCCCCCCCCAAATACAAAACACACATCCTCTTATATTGATGAATATAAGTGAGGAAGCTAGAGAAAAAGCAGTAGAATGCACGGGTGGGGCTGTGAACTGGGGATATTCTCAACCTTCTTGTAAAACTTTAGGGTGGCTTTAAGTCCTTAGATTTATAGTTATATAAATACTGTAGTGTTAGTAGTAGGGTTTGTTGGGCTTGGGGTGCTGGCTTAAGTCTCAAGGCTTAACCAGATGGAGTGACAATACTCTTGATGTGCAGAACTGATGGAAGATAAAATTTGAATGATATATGTGAGGTTGCTTTTAAAGCCTGAGCACCCATCTCCCCTCTTTCCCTGCTGGTGCCTGGGCTCAGTGGCTCAGCTCCGATTTTTGCATGTGCATTGTGCTTGTACAGTGCCAGCACACCAAAAAGCTAGGAGTGATCAAAGGGGGCTTGGGTGCCTCTTGCAGCTGCTGTTGCCGCTGCCCAATTGCCTCCTCCAGGGCTGACGGCTTGTCCCCTCCGGTGGTGGAGGTGGTGGCAGCAGCAGGAGACGAAGAAGGAGGCAAAGGAGCGGTCACACACACTCGGGCACCTCTTCCTGCTGCCTCCCCTGCCTGCCCGATCACCTCCTCCAGTGGGACTGACAGGCCCACTGGACATTCACCCTGTCCCCTCTGGTGGCGGAGACAGCTGGAGACGGAGGCAAAGCAGTTGCACTGGAGGAGGTGATTGGGTGAGCAGCGGAGGCGGCAGCAGCAGGAGACAGAGGTGGAGGAGCAGTTGCCCATTAACTGCTCCTCCACCTCCAGCAAGGGTCAAAATTCAGGGGTCATTTTATACATTGGGGGGTCATATACACAGAAAAATACGTTAACTTTTATGAAAACCTAGGGTTCAATAGCTGTAGTGTTTGTTATTATTATTTTCAGTAAACTTTTTTTTAAAAATCTTGTTCTGTTCTGCTTTTATTCAGTAGTATCATTGCAGTATAATGTTTTCAAACGAAATATTTAGACTAGAGGTTTTTTAAGTCTCCCATTTTTGAAATTTAACATTTCATTCAATAATTGGTTTGGAATTATCCCTGTATTAGACTTGTACTAAATGCTAGACATGTATTAAATGTTATATATTTATCAGTATTTTGTCTCTTGTGAGCTGCAAAATCAGAGGAAACTTATATTTCTGGCATTTTTCCTAATTATTTTTGAAGTGTTATACCAGGAAGAGTCTCTATCAGTCTTATCACACAAAATAACCATGGTCAGTAGAAAAATGGATTAAAATCATGGCTTGCAGTATGATTAAGAAAATGGCAATTAAGTTTTCCTTTAGTATATAATAAGTATTGAAATAATAATTGTGTGCCATCAAGTCAGTTCTGACTTATGGCGACCCTTTTCAGGTAGAGATTGCTCAGAAGTGGTTTACCATTCCTTTTCTCTGGGAGCATCCTGAGGCTGCCCAATTCTGGAATGCCCAGTGTTAAATTGAACATCCCACCTCTGGCTTTGCAGCCAGATACCTAACTCAGCTATCTAGCCATTTAATATGCATTGAACACATACAATATTTTAATACTCTGTTCTGTTTTTCATTTCCTTAAGGAGTTAGAACAGCAGTTTGAAAAAGAGAAGCAGCACTTTGAAGATGAGAAGAATCAGCTTCGACAGCAGTTAGAAAACCTGAAGGAAGACCTGACAACTAAACTGACATCATCCAATCAGGAGGCAAGAATAAACTTGGTCATATCTACTACTTGTCACATGCACTCGACCACAATTAATCAATACTGATATTTTTCCTTGCTGATGATATATATTAAGATCTGGCTCGTCTTGTTCTGCTTATTTCTATTTAAAGGATGTATTCTCTAATATACTTCTATTTATTTAAATATGTTCACACACATATACAACTTCTGCTTGTATGAGTGGTATACACTCTATGGCGAACCTATGGCACACGTGCCACAGCTGGCATGCAGAGCCCTTTTTGTGGGCTCATGAGCCATAAGACATGGGATCTCTACTCCCCCCGCCCCCCGGCAGCCAAACTCCAGGAGGCTGCTGCAGTCACGGTGCTGGCGCCTTGACAGGCGGCGGGCCAGGATCCGGAGCAGCTGGTGCTGGCGGCGGAGCCAGAGTGGGGTCTCGAGGCACCCCCATGCCCAGGATTCCCCCTTCCACTGCCACTTCCAGTTCTGCAATCGCCACTTCTGTTTCCGCTGCTGCCACCCGCCACCCGCTGTTTTTTTCTCCCCAGTTTGGGTCGTTGTTGTCGTTTAGTCGTTTAGCTCTGTCCAACTCTTCGTGAGCCCCATGGACCAGAGCACGCCAGGCCCTCCTGTCTTCCACTGCCTCCAGTAGTTGTGTCAATTTCATCTTTGTTGCTTCGCAGACACTGTCCAGCCATCTCGGCCTCTGTCGTCCCCTTCTCCTCTTGCCGTCACACTTTCCTAACATCAAGGTCTTTTCCAAGGAGTCTTCTCTTCTCATGAGATGGCCAAAGTACTGGAGCCTCAGCTTCAGGATCTGTCCTTCCAGTGAGCACTCAGGGTTGATTTCCTTTAGAATTGGTAGGAATAGGGTTTTGCCAATAGCAACAAAAGTAGCTTCCCCTGTGACTGAATTTTTCCAGGATGCATATTCTCTGATATTTTCTAAAACCAACACCCTTTATTAACTGCATTTCCACCCCATCTTTCTCACAAAGAATTCATGTTTTCCTCACTCTTAACATCCCAGCAACCTTGTCATGAGAGATCATGACTGGCCTACTGGATTTCCCATTGTTATTATGTGCCATCGAGTCACCTCCAGATTATGGCTACCCTATGAATGAGCGCTCTCGAACGTGTCCTGTCCTCAAGAGCACTTGCACAGCTCTTGCAAACTCAAGTCCGTGGCTTCCTTTGGGGTGTCAGTCCATCTCATATTTGGTCCTTTTTTTGTGTTGCCTTCAACCTTTCTCAGCAACATTATCTTTTGTAGAGAATTCTGCCTTCTTACAATGTGCCCTAGTTTCCTCTTTCTAAGTCCAGTACCCTTTATGCTATACTATAATGATTTCTGTACTTTCTTTCTAATATGAACAAATACTGTGCTTCCTTTAGGTGGGAGAAAAAGTGAGCCTGTTACAGGGTTTATTAAAGTGCCAGGTGATTATGGGCCTTTGAGTGAAAGCTTGATTTTACCTGTCTTGCTAAAATTTAAGTTTGAATGTCAGTTCTTTTTGTCCTGTTAAGAATATGGAACCGTATTAAACCACTTGCATTGATATACATTCTGATGTCCCGAATACAAGAACTGCAGTAGTCATGTACTGTTCTTTTCTTTGAACAGCAGTGCTCCATGCCACATTGCAAACAGCTTTTAAAACACCCTTTACAGTGAAATTCTATTATATACGTTCAGAAATAAGTCTTGTTTAATTTAGTGGGAATTATTCCCAGGTGAGCTATGTAGGATTGTACCTTAAGTCAAAATTGTTATTTCCTTCCCGACCCCTTACACCCAATTATAACTCTTTGAAAATCATAAGATGTTTTAGAATTACTGGTTTTCAGATAGCAGGAGACACAAAAAATAAAAGAAACAGACTTCTGTAGCCCAAAGGAACTCACAGAAATATATTCATTGTGCATTAATGAATTCCTAATTAATTTACTGTTTGGCTCCATTGATAACCCTTCCTGCTTAACTGTATCCAATAAGTCATTTAGATAATCTTTTACAAGTAGAAAGACCTTTAATACATATCCCCCCAAAATTGTATTCTCTTGCTCACAAAAATAGAGTCCAGCTTACTTTATGAATCATGCTTTTGTCAAAACTATTAAAACTTGGTGTATTTAATTTTATATTACTTTACTCCAATAAAAATTGAGCAACAATCCAGCAGAGTAAGGAACAGAGTGAATAATATGCTTGACACTACGTTTACTATTTCAGTGTGCCATAGAATACTTTAAATGTTTCCAAATTTCTAAGGCAAGATTATTTAGAGGGTGGCAAGATTTTTATTATGCTTTTCTAGGCTACTGTGTTTAGGAAAAAGCATTAGAATAATAAACTCCTAAAATAATAAACTTCTCTCGCACTCTCTCTCTGTTTTTTCTTCTCTGATTAGAGAACTTCTGTGTTCAAAGAGGTACGGTATATCGTAGTTTGGACATTATATTGTAAACATGGTGAAGAATAACTGATCCTTGCCCAGTTTCACTGCCTCTGACATAATGATAAAGAACAAATTAGTGTTACAGAAATGGGACTAGCCTCCCCTCACGCCATACTTCTGGTGCATCCTGAAAAAGTCTTTTGAAAGTTGTGTTTTCAGCTAAGGAAAGCTTGCACAGTTTTTTTTTAACTTGGGCAAACTCTGGGTAATATTAACTATGGTTAATAGAAACAAGCCAGACTCTATATATTGTTTATGAAGCTATTTTCTATTACCCTGTCTAAAATCAGCCAGATTAGAATGTGTACAGAATACTGAACTTTAGAAGTAAGTGTGTGGCATATTTTGTGTTATGGAAGGAGAACAACTTTTCCATAAAATACAGACTACATTTGACTTGATGGCACATTATTATTATTATGTTCCTTAATATAGATTCTTGAGCTATTCAGTTTTAATGTTGTTTTGCTTTTATCTTTGAAGAGGGTATTTTTTCTGGAACAACTTGGTAATGGTAATAGGAAAATCTTAATGACATATTATTGCTGTAAAAAATATAATGCAGCCCAAATTATAAAGAATTGCAGCTTATCGTAATTTACTTGAAGCTTCTCAGTAATCTTAAAAAAACTTTGTGATTATCCCCAGAGCAGTATACTGAAATGTTAAAATCTGTCCACTTAGAAAATTATTAACTTGTTCATAATTTGTCACAGAGATCATTGTTATAAATCAGTACCCTGAAAAAGCCAATTATGACAATCCATCATTTCAAGACTATTCACTAGATTATTCATTATGTCATAGAATTACTGGTTAATAGCTTTTAAATAGATTAGGAGCTGTTAAGAATAAAAGCTGCTTATTTAGACAACAATCCTATAAACATTACCAGAAATGAATTCTAGTGAATTCAATGGGTTTTGTTTCTCAGTAGATGTATTTGTTTGCTATTAGTCTCTAAACACTTTTTGCAAAGCAGTCAAAGTAATAATTTCCTTATGCAGCTGGCAACATTCTTATAAAAACACACAGTGTTCTTAAAGTCACACTTCTGTTATTATTGTTGTTGTTTTTACTTACATACTGTACTACAATGGTGCTAGAGCATTCTCTGGATGGTTTACAACAGGTTAGTTCTGGTTCAAAATATAATTTCTTTGAAACCCTTAATGATGGCCATTTTTTCGTTAGAAATTAGAGTTAGATGTTTCCTTATTCACAGTCTTCACATATGTCTTCCTCAATTTTGTAGTCTCATTCATACGGTCAATAATTCATGGACAGAAATCAGACCATATGTGTTTTTAATTTAATTACAGACTGACTCTCATATTTGGTCTTTAAGGATATATAGGCAAAGTTAAGGGGCAAGTAAAGTGCTCTCTGTGCATCTACACTGGCACAGACAGATCCCTTCAGAACGTTCTAGACATAGAGACTTCAAACGCTAGCCCCACTCCTCCATTATACCAAGCATGGTTCAACATAATAATTAAGTGAAAAAAAGGAATGCATAACATAATCTCTAAGAAGCAGAATAGCATTCAGTAAACAAAGGAAAATCTAAAATGTATGTCTATTGGTTTGTCAGTACTTTTTTCTTTCTTTTTTGCAGGTGTGTCGTCTTCAAGACCTAGTAAGGAAAAGTGAACAAGGGCTTGGTACTGCAGAAGGACATATCTCCAGTCTCCAGGAAACCCAGGAAATACTACAAAAGGAGCTAGAATTAACCAGAGCAAGATTGAGGGAGACCACAGATTCTCTGTATAACGTTGAGGTAACTACCTGACATCAGATAAAACTGATACTATCAGTTTCATCACAGATTCAGATGCTCATAGGAGATTTAGTGTGTGCATGGAGCTGCCCTTCCAAATGCTTATAAAACTTCCCCATTTGCTACAGTGTTATTTATTGCAACTCGTTTGGTGTATCATCCCAATGATGTTCTAACTGTCACTTGCTTAAAATGGTATTAAAAGGGGATTAGAAAAATTAATAGAGGATAGGTCTAACAATACCTGCTTGTTCTTATAGCTTTGTGCATCATCTAGCTTTAAAGTAAAAAAACTCTTAATATCAGCTGCTTGGAATAGTATGATGATCCTGTTGTATTTACATCCTTTAAGACTCAAATGGTTGGCCACTGTGGAAAATTTGATGTTGGTTTAGATCAGGGATTCCCAAACTGTGTGCCATGGCTCCATAGGGCACCCAGGATCTGAGCCAGGGGTGCCAGGGGGAAAGACATGAAACATAGAGCTATGAAGGCCATAGAGGAGCTATTCATAGCTCTATTTAGAGGAGCTGTTCATAGATCTGTGTTAAACAGGAACTAGAAGTGAAGGCTATGCGCCTGCCTCTCCTTGCCCCATCTCTATGGTCCCCACTGGAGGTGCTTGCTGGATGGTCTCATGAATTTCCTGTGTCAGGACCTGGAAAGAAGTGGGCCCTTGGGGTTATTTGGGGGAGGAGGAAGGAGATGGAATGGCTGGGGAGGATTGTCAAGATCCTGTCCCTCGTGGCAGTGAGACCTCTGATGGGCCCTTCAAGCAAGGGGAGCCGTGGCCAGTGGTCAGTAAATCAAGGGAGGAACAAGTCCAAACTGTTTGGGAACCACTGTTCTAGATGAACCATTGAACAGCTGCAGCAGTACTCTTCTTTTGCTCAACATGCATATCTCCATTATATTGATGTGCTTGGAAATCCTTTTGAGTAAACAGAGCACAGAAAAAAGAAACTGTGGCTATGGCTAAACTTTTATTGAAAAATACTTATATTAATTTATTTCAGAAATTAGCATGTTACTGAAACAAAAAATGTGTGAATTGGAATATATTTTTGGTAGTCAATCAAGAAATTACTTCTACTACTTGTGCATTTAGGAAGGAGATCAATATTGTTTCAGAGCAAAACATCGGATGTATATTGTTGCTTAAATCCACATATGAACTTTGTGTTGGTAGGGGGAGTTAGATCAGGAAAGACAACAACATGAGGCAATGATTGTCACCATGAGGGAAGAAGAAAAATTCAAAGTTGACCGAATGGCCCGAGACCTGGAAATAAAATGGACAGAAAATCTTCGGCAAGTGTCCTCCCCCACCCTTCACCCCAATGTTTTTCTCTTTTAACTAAACAAAATGTATTCAGTATAATGTAATGCAGGTCAAAGTTGTGAATTTCTTCAGAGTCATCAATTTCCTGAATAAGTGAATATTTTTGTTTTTGTCTCTTCTTCTCAGGCAGGAGTGTAGTAAACTTCGGGAAGAGTTGAGGCTGCAGCATGAAGAAGACAAAAAGTCTGCAATGACTCAACTCTTGCAACTGAAAGAGAGGGAAAAAAATGCTGCCAGAGATAGCTGGCAGAAGAAAGTGGAAGATCTCTTGGATCAAGTAAGTCAACATTACTTACATGTTTTATTACCATATGAAAATTACATCTGAAAAGGGATATATTGTTGAAGAGCTAATTTGTTTGGAATTGGAGGGATGTGGAGAAATAATGAAAATCAGATCTCTGTGGCTGTTTTATCAACAGTCTCAGTGGTAAACTAGAAATATGTTTATAAAGGATGAGTTCTGGCTCTGTTCTATACAGGGCACCATGTTGGACTAGAACAGGCTGGGCACTTGTGGCCCTTTGGATGTGATGTGTCCCCAACTTGCTTCATTTTTTGTAGTCTAGAAATGATGGGAATTGCAGCCCAGCAACATCTGACAGAAAAGAGTTGCTCACCACTGTCAAGAAGAAAAACATGGTCATGATCCAGGTTTAAGAGGATTTCATTCAAAATTTTGTTTATGTCCCTTTCTTTCCAAAGCCCGTGTTACTCAGAGTGTGAAGTATAGTAATATGTCTAAAATCTAAAAGTATGCAGAAAAGAATAGTTATCCAGACAATTATATCCAATATCATCATCGTTTAGTCATTTAGTCGTGTCCGACTCTTCGTGACCTCATGGACCAGAGCACGCCAGGCCCTCCTGTCTTCCACTGCCTCCAGTAGTTGTGTCAATTTCATCTTTGTTGCTTCGCAGACACTGTCCAGCCATCTCATCCTCTGTCGTCCCCTTCTCCTCTTGCCGTCACACTTTCCTAACATCAAGGTCTTTTCCAAGGAGTCTTCTCTTCTCATGAGATGGCCAAAGTACTGGAGCCTCAGCTTCAGGATCTGTCCTTCCAGTGAACACTCATGGTTGATTTCCTTTAGAATTGATAGGTTTGTTCTCCTTGCAGTCCAGGGGACTCTCAAGAGCCTCCTCC